TGGCAGTAGAAGGCATTTTAAACGTGGGCATTTTAATGGTCATAAAAACAAGTCACACCGAGAATACAAACAGGTCGAAAGACCAAATTTCAAGGGCAAGGGCAAACAAAAAGCCCATCAAATAAACCGCCCTCCAAAATCCTCGGGAAAGTTGACTTGTTATAAATGTGGCATGACGGAGCATTGGGCTAATAAATGTCGCACGGCTAAACATCTGGTGGAGTTATTTCAAGCTTCCATGAATCTGAACAAAGGCAAAAATGTGGAAGCTAATTATGTTAATGACACAACTCCACCTCTGCCAAAATTTGACGTGCCCGACTTCTTTGTGGATGATGCCATTATGGACGATGCGTTTGCCATAAACCAAAATGTCACAAAATAAAATATTCGACTTCTTATGTTGTAACATATTAGTTTTATGTACTTTTTCTTTCTTCCTTTTTTATTTTGTTTTTAAATAAATGTGTGTAATAAATGTACTTTTATGTTAAATAATATGCATAATTTGTGATATCTACATATCAAACTTATGTTTATTTGTATATATTGAAGATATGGATCACTCAAATGATAAAGAGCTATGTCTGATAGACAGCGCCACAACGCACACCATTTTGAGAAATAAAATATATTTTTCTCAAATGACTTTAGTTGAGGCTAAAGTCAATACAATATCAGGTGTTGTGAAGCTCATTGAAGGTTCTGGGAAAGCATATGTGATGCTCCCTAATGGGACAAAATTACTTATAAATGACGCTTTATACTCCAGCAAATCGCGGAGAAATTTATTAAGCTTTAAAGATATGCGTCAAAATGGTTATCACATAGAAACCATGAATGAAAACCAAAAGGAATATCTTTGTCTAACGACAACTAAATCTGGCACTAAATGTATTTATGAAAAAATGCCAGCATATTCCTCGGGACTATATTTCACTCATATTAGTCCATTCGAAATAAATTTGGTTTCTAACGCAAAGTTAGATGATCAGAAAACATTCATGTTGTGGCATGACCGTTTAGGTCACCCAGGCCAAGTAATGATGCATAAAATCATTAAGACTTCACTTGGACACCCATTAAAGAATATCAGGGTTCCATTATCAAGTGATTTTCCTTGTAAAGGCCTGTTCTCTTGGCAAAATGATCATCAGGCCTTCTTTGAACAAAATTGCAACTGAATCACCTGCATTTTTAGAAAGGATTCAAGGAGATATTTGTGGGCCGATAGCCCCACCATGTGGACCATTTCGATATTTTATGGTGTTGATTGATGCTTCAACACGTTGGTCACATGTTAGTCTTTTATCGACTAGAAATTTAGCATTTGCTAAACTCCTTGCTCAAATTATACGATTAAGAGCTCATTTTCCGGATCATTCTATAAAGAGAATCCGACTTGATAATGCAGGAGAATTTACTTCCCAATCATTTAACGACTATTGTATGTCGATTGGGATTGATGTGGAGCACCCTGTTGCTCATGTCCATACACAAAATGGTCTTGCTGAATCTTTGATTAAACGATTACAATTAATCGCTAGACCATTATTAATGAAGTGTAATTTACCTTCATCAGCTTGGGGACATGCTACTTTGCATACAGCAAATTTAATTCAGCTTAGACCGACTGCATATCATGAATATTCCCCAATGCAATTAGTTACTAGACAAGAGTCAAACTTAGCACACATAAAAATATTTGGTTGTGCTGTTTATGTTCCGATTGCTCCACCTCATCGTACAAAAATGGGTCCTCAAAGAAGGTTGGGAATTTATGTTGGATTTGAATCTCCCTCAATAATAAAATATGTTGAACCGATGACTGGTGACTTATTCACCGCACGGTTCGCTGACTGTCATTTCAATGAGGCAGTATTCCCAACCTTAGGGGGAGAAACTAATAAATCGGACCCAAGTACGAAAGAAATAACATGGAATGCAACAGGATTATCACACCTTGATTCTAGATCAAATATATGTGAGCAAGAGGTGCAAAAGATAATTCATTTACAAAATGTTGCAAATCAGTTGCCTGATGCATTCACAGATACAAAGAAAGTGACAAAGTCACATATTCCTGCTATAAATGCTCCTGCCAGAATCGAAATTCCAGCAGAGAATTCTGAAAAATCTCTTGCAATTGATTCTTCTATACGCAAAAAGCGTGACAGGCCACTTGGATCAAAAGATATAAAACCAAGAAAAACTAAAAGGCAGGAATTGATCTGTGATGCCAAAGATGTTCATCCTTCTGAACAAGAAAATGAACAATTTGAAAATACTGGCATAGAAAATGATATTGACAAAACAAACATCTCAAATAATGATCCAACTTCCTTAAATGAGGAAGATGTTCCAGATAATGATAGAAACGTTGATAATTATGAAATTTCAATAAACTACGTTTCTACTGGAATGCAATGGAATCGAAAAGATATTGATATTAATGAGATATTTGTCTATGCCGTTGCCACAAATGTAATGAATGAAAACAATGACAATGAGCCAACATCAATTGAAGAATGTCGGAAACGACACGATTGGCCAAAATGGAATGAAGCTATTCAGGCTGAATTAAAATCACTTGAAAAACGTGATGTTTTTGGACCGATAGTCCCTACGCCCAAAGGCGTAAAACCTGAGGGTTTTAAATGGGTATTTGTGCGTAAACGCAATGAGAAAAATGAAATTGTTAGATATAAAGCCCGACTTGTTGCCCAAGGTTTTTCTCAAATGCCGGGAATTGATTATGAAGAAACCTATTCTCCAGTAGTCGATGCGACTACATTAAGGTTTCTCATTGGCATGTCTGTTTTTGAAAGGCTGCAAATGCGCCTAATGGATGTAGTGACCGCATATTTATACGGTTCACTCGATACAGACATTTATATGAAAGTCCCCGGTGGATTTAAAATGCCTGAAGCTTATAGCTCGAAACCTCGAGACATGTTTTCTATTAAATTACAAAAGTCATTGTATGGACTAAAACAATCTGGACGAATGTGGTATAATCGTCTCAGTGAATACCTTCTCAAAGAAGGATATAAGAATGGTCCAATTAGTCCATGTGTTTTCATTCGGCAATCAAATTCGGGATTCGCCATAATTGCAGTATATGTTGATGACCTAAACATTATTGGAACTCCCGATGAAATTGAAAATACTGCAAATTATCTTATGAAAGAATTTGAAATGAAAGATCTCGGGAGAACCAAATTTTGTCTCGGACTTCAAATTGAGCATTTGAAGAATGGAATTTTCATCCACCAATCCAATTACACCGAGAAAGTGTTGAAGAGATTCTATATGGACAAAGCTCATCCTTTGACTTCACCAATGGTCATTCGATCTCTCAACATACACGATGATCCATTCCGTCCCCGAGAAGACGACGAAGAAATACTCGGTCCTGAAGTACCATATATGAGTGCTATTGGAGCTTTAATGTATTTAGCTAATAATACTAGACCAGATATTGCATTTTCTGTAAATTTATTAGCTAGGTACAGTTCATGCCCAACAAGACGTCATTGGAACGGGATCAAGCACATATTCCGTTATCTACGTGGTACAGTTGATCTCGGCTTATTCTACCACAAAGATGCAAAAGCTGCTTTAATCGGATATGCAAACGCTGGATACTTATCAGATCCTCAAAAGGCGAAATCACAAACCGGGTACGTATTTACTTATGGTAACACCGCAATCTCATGGAGATCTATGAAGCAGACATTGACAACTACATCATCAAATCATTCGGAGTTAATTGCATTATATGAAACCGGAAGAGAATGTGTGTGGTTGCGGTCTATGATTCAACACATCCAAAATGAATGCGGTATGAAGCCTATTACTTGTCACCCGACTGTGATCTACGAAGACAACACTGCGTGCATAGCTCAAATTAAAGAAGGCTACATCAAAGGAGATAGAACGAAGCATATATCTCCAAAATGTTTCTCTACTCACGACCTTGAGAAAGAAGGGACGATCAACGTTCAGCAAATCAGATCCAGTGAAAATCCAGCCGATCTCTTCACCAAATCTTTACCCCCGAAGAAATTCGTTGAACTTGTACACAAAATCGGCATGCGCCGCCTTAATAATTTATGCTAAATTCAGGGGGAGTATTTGAATGCACTGCACTCTTTTTCCCTTCATCAGGTTTTTATCCCATTGGGTTTTTCCTGATAAGGTTTTTAACGAGACAATACATCCAAATACAACGACATTATATGTCATAATCTTTACCCCTTAATTTTCACACTAATCTTCACAATAAATTTTTAAATACAAATAACTATTCTCAAGGATGAACATTCAAGGGGGAGTGTTGTAAAACCCAGGAAATGACAAGTGTGAATTGTTCATCCTTGTCATTATCCTTGTAATCAGGACACTAAGCTTCTTACCATCCTTGTAATCATAGATGGCAAGTTCTAATGATGCCAGCAAGATGTGTAGAATTACTCCTTGATGATTCATCGCCAAGCCCAACTAGTATAAATAGGGGTTGATCAATCACTTGTAAAGATACTTAAAATTTTCAGAAACTGAGAAATTTCAGAGATTAAGAAGAAGTTATTTAGAGCTTTTTAACAATATATATATCTCTTTATTTAGTCTTCATCTTCTTCATTTCACAACACTTTTATAATTTTTAAAAAGAAATTGGATATATTGTTGGGCGGATAAAAATGAACTCTTAGAAATTTATGATCATGTTAGAGTGTTAGACTAACTCACTAACTTTGACAAGAATTTAATATTGTATGTATTGCTCAAGAAAAAATGTTGGAATAAAAAAAAGATCATGAACATGTCACTGAAAAGACCATGAACTTAAAAGTTAAAAAATAGGTAAAATATCTGCCACAAATTGTTCTTTTCAAATGAAAAAAAAAAAACTTTAAGAGGTTGGTTCGGAGTGGATTTGACTCAAATATCCACCTTCCAACCAACCAGTATAGACTGAAGATCATTTAGAGGTATTTGTCCGACATCCATTAAATATAGGATAATAAACCGATATACAAAATCACACTTCTACCAAGTTGACCTCATAAGATGAACTCCAAGTCTTGACAAAATAACCAAAGAAATCCAAAAGCTGGAGAAAACAAAATAACACAAAAGGTAACCATAACAAAATCCTTTTTGAAGTACAATGAGTATTTGTATCCACGTATGACGTTCTAACAGAAAATAAGGAAAAAATTAAATTAGAACCAAAGGTCCCCTTGTCATCATTATCATCACTTTCTTTACCTATTTCATCATTCCTTTCCTTGTGAAGAATCCATTGAAATTACCCTCACACTATTCTACGTCGTTACCCGCGAGGCACGAAACTACAACAAACACCATATTTTGCCCCTTTGTTTTTTGGAACAAAACAGTCATTATTACTTCGCCATTAAAAATCAATAACCTCGTATGTTATATCAGTCTCGTCGGGTAAATCAAGCAGCTACTGAGAGGAGCTTACTGGGTGGTAATAGTAAGGAGAGTGGACAACTTGTCCCAATCCAAAGACTGGAAGAACTCGTGGGATCTGACAGAGGCGGCACCCAAGCCCAATAAGACTACAAGAACAGCAAAGCTCTTGAAGCAACCGTGCCCACTTGATAGCCTTCCCAACAAAAGCTTGCAGTGTTTGTCAGCGTCTTTAAGCAGTGATTGATCAACTCCATCCGTTGACAGTTTCTCGTTCTACAGACACATAAATAGAATAAGGAATAGATAAATATGGAAATGTATAGAGTGGATCAATGTTTAGAACTTCGGCCAAGTGGTCAGCCAAGCTCTCAAGGCACCATGGTCTAAGCATTGTTTAGACCAAACTAAACCAAATTACCCAGACAAAGGTCCAAACTGATCCATATGTGACTTGGTTCACTTTAGTGCGATAATCTCTTTTCATAATAATATAATATTAATACACAAACAAACCAAAGAAATACAGCCTCAATAATAATAATAATAAATCCAAGCCTAAACCCAAACTGAACCAAACTAAGTTTAGTTTGATCTTGAAAATCAACTTCCCAGCTCAAAAACTGAAAAAGATAAACAAATCGAACTGGAATCCCAACCCTTAGGCCGAAATGCACAGTGCATTTGGATTTTGCCATCCATTTGAAGGTCATTGACTGCTCTCAATGCGCAATGTGCAAATGAACTTTCGATTGTAGGGGACAACTCCCCGGACAACCATCACAAGTGAGAAGATTGAAGAGACTATCTCTGTCAAAATAGTTACAGTACCTTATGCCTGAAACTTTTGAGAGTTTCTCGGAGTGCATTGTGAGAAGATTGATTAGCAGACAAGACTTTCCACTCAACAGCAAGTTTTTTTAAGGCAGCAACACTGGCTTCTATGTTATCCACATAGATCTTGTCCTGAATTGAACATTATTACAAATTGTTATTAGATCAATGGGGTTGGAGGAACTTGGAACAAAACACTACTTCCCTCTTTCTTTTTTACCTCTCAAAGTTACTATCCATTGGTCACACTACATCCTTTTTCATAACTTATTGAAATTACTTTATGGTTAATAAATACCTATGGCATCACTTGTTTTATAAAACTTTTGATTCATTTAATAAACATGCAACTTCTACCTACTCAAACAATAGCATTAAGTATTTTACATAAAAAACTATATTTAGTCTTGCTTGATTGCATGAGTAGGAAAGATAACAAAAGACGAAGGCGAAAAACTAATTATATGTATATTCTGATCAAAAGAATGTCACAGATAGAACATACCCACTGCTTGTAACAATCAGCATTTTGATTCAAGCACCAGACAAATATATTAGCCCCTTCCTGAGATAGTGCTGGAATGCCTGAAAACAGGTACATGTAGAACTTCTCAACCCCAATCGAACACAAAATATAACCTAAAAAAGAAGTGGAGTTTCTAGTGGAATTTACCTTCCCCAGCAGCTTTGACTGCAAATGGAAAGATCTGCTGTGAAACTTGCTTCATTGCTTTGCTTCCAGGAGAACCAGCAAGAGCAACCTCTTTGAGAGTGGGATATATTTTCTCAAACCTGTCAGTAGCCTGTAACAGGAAAACATAAAATAAGAACACAAGATTAAATTACTTGAGTGTGTAAGGAAGACTTGCGACACCACAATTTGTGCACATATGAGTCTGTTACCAACCATAGTCACAAAGAACCAAGTACAATCAATAGTTGAATGAAAATATTACACGAGGTGTTGATTTGGTAAAACTTCCTGTATTGTTTGTTTCAAATTTCCAAAATATAAACACGCATGTTTGGCATATCTGATTATTAGTCTATTTATGATTACAATGTATACCTTATGCGGCTGGAATGTGATGTTACCCAACACGTATCCGCTTAGAAGATTTAACAGCTCCAGCTATTTAAGCCATATAACTCTTACCGAGCTTAATGGGACCAAGTATTTTGTTGACAGCATCAGAATCAAAAAGTATTTTCATTTTCAAAACTCAAAAGCAATACTTTTGTCCCCAACAATTTTCAAAATTGTTTCTGCCATACACTTCATACAAATATTACCAACTCCATAGAAAATTAATCAACCCCCAATGTAGCCAGAATCCTACCTTAACTCGTGCTGAAGAAGCAGGAAATGTCATCCGTAATAGAAAATCAAGTGCTGATGGTGGCACCAAACGTTCTCCTTTCCTAACAGAGCCATTTACTAAAATGGTCCGAGCCTTTGGTAAAGATAGGATCCTAAGAATACAAACATTAACAAACTTTAACGATACCTTTACAAAATCTCAATTGCAAGTAAAAAGCACAAAGAAAGCAGCTTAGCAAACCAACAACCCCACTATTTACTTTTATGTTGAAAATATCACCGGCCTCTTTTTATGTACCCTTTTTCCTTTCTGGTAAATTGTGAAATAATCTCTGGACATTTCCTTTTAAGGAAAAAATTGTGTGGTTGATATTAATTATTCTTTCTAAATAAATCTCAACCACACAATTTCATTTTCTTTAAGCACCTTGCAAACTCATTTGGATAAATAAAACGAGGATGGAGGGAGTAGTGAAACATTGACTTTATACTTCATTAATTTAGAACTTAAAGTACGCATATTTATAACCAAACTAGCAATATTTATTTTGAGACCAAGTTATGTCCTAATCTCATGCTACATTAGTAGTTTTTAAACAAATCTTGAAGAAGAAAGGAAAACAAAATCTTAATTTTGAGTAATAAATAAGTTATTATTTTTTAGCATGTAAAATAATATTTCTGTGTGTCAGCTTCACTTTGAGAAAATAGGATCTATTTCCCATCCATAAAAATAAAGATGAGTGTGTGATGTTTTATATAAAAAAAAAATCTACATAAAGTGAAATAAGGCAGATGAACTTAGAAAATAAAACCACAAGTGATTTCTCTTTTAATGAATAATATAACATTCATTGCAAAAGTGCAATATTATTAAGCCAACCTTTCCACTGACTGCAAAATCAAGTCCCTTGCCTGTGGATTAGAACCCGATTTGCCTCCAACTAAAGGCAAGATCCAATGGGCCCACACATACAACCCTACACACACATCACCATGGCAAGCCTATACGAAAAGGAAAAAAGAACACACATAAAGCAGTGGTATTCAATGATAGCCCCTTCAAGGGTTCATATAAGTGGAAGCAAAGAATTGAAGATTAGTGTTGCAAGGTAAGGACCTGAGCTGTCACCCAAACCATTACAGGGAGCTTATCTTGTCCTTGATACGTTTTGTTATCCCTCAATGTTGGCATTAGATTGATCAAAACATCAGGTTTCCGTCGCAACACCATTGATAGAACCAAAAATATAGCTACCTGTTAGCCATAGAAATAGCAGAAAAAATCATGCAAATATGATTACAATCAAATTGCAACTGAAAAATTGCATCTCTACAGAGGAGAATAACTTACACTATGTTTGGGTGTTGGGTTTTGGAGGAGAATAAATGGGAGGGAATATACTTTCATATTTAAAAATATTTCTTTTAACTTGAAAGACTTTAAAGTAACAAATATACATTCATTCGGTACAAAACTAATACGTAGTACTCCGTATGTTTTAAAACTTATTTTGATTTTTGACTCAAAAACATTTTTTTCAGCAGAAAAGGTAACTTTATATAATTTTATGTCAATTTTCCAATTAAAAACAGGTACCAAACCAGTGAAATGTCCCAAGTTTAGTTTAAAGGGAAATAGAAAATAAAAATACAGCTACAATGATGATTTACACGAGTTGTACTGATGCATTCACAGGGCGTCAGTATCACCGTAAAAGAAAGAAAGATAAAAGTCAGCAAATCACAATGGCAAATCAAACTGATTTGGAAGACAAATAAAATCAAACAAATCTGGGAGACAAATAAATCAGACAAATCTGATAGACATGTCACTGTCAGGGATTTGAGATCCTTAGAGATTTGAGATATCATTTTCTGATTGCAATCTTTGAATTATTGTTTTCTGTTTAATTGTTTTCTTTATTTTATTTTCCAAGCTCTGTAAAGCCTATTTAAAGGCCAGTTGAATGCAGGGAAAAAGCATGCAAGTTTTTAGCAAGAAAAGTCTGAGGGAGTTTCTGGAATTCTCAACAAAAAATTCCAACTTGATAAAAGTTTGCATAATTATATTCTTCTTAGTTTTCTGCCCAAACAGTAAACATAGCCAACCCTTCCAAAGCTCAGTCTACCCTCCCACTCACCCGAAGGCCTGTGACGAGATCTTGCACACAAGCTGCCCGTAACATTGGTTCCGTTGCCGGGAACATGGGCGATGGGGTGTTTGCGTCAAAGGAAGAAGTCTCCAATCTGAAAGAATCCATAGATCGCCTTGAACAACTGATGGAAAAATTACTTGCAGATGGAGGTAAAACTGCAACAACAGAAGCTGCCAATCCTGATCAGGCCGTGGTACATGCACCTGACAACATGAATCACATGGCTACTGCTCATGGATCACATTTTGAGTTTCCCCTTTTCTCTGGCACAGAAGATCCACTCAGTTGGCTTTATCGTTGTGAGTTATTCTTCATGAATCAGAACGTTCCCCCTGCAAAACGAGTCTCTATGGCTGCTTACTATCTCACTGGAGATGCTCAGTTGTGGTACCACCATCTACGCCAAGACCAGCCCCATATCTCTTGGGAATCTTTTCGAGATTACTGCACCCACAGATTTGGTCCCCCTGGTGGTGCAAATCCATTAGGGGATTTGACAAATCTAAAACAACAAGGCCGTCCAATTGAGGAGTACATCACACAGTTTCAGAACAGCCTAGCACGTGTTCCACCACTTCGTATGGAATACCAAGTTTCTATTTTCACAGCTGGGTTAGATGAGGTCTTGCGCATAGATGTGGAATATCAAAAACCATTGAATCTGACTATGGCATTCAGTGAGGCAAGACTATTCGCGAGAAAGTTACAGCTTTGGACTTCGACTCATCCCAGAACTTTACGACTGCCTCCAAAGCCAGTGCACTGCCCGACAACAACCACCACTCCATTACCACCGGTTGCAGGACCTTCAATAACTCGGTCAGCCCCTCCGTACATGAAGAGGCTGTCCAAAGTTGAAGCAGCAGAACGGCGAGCGAAGGGACTTTGTTACAACTGTGATGAAACATATGTACCGGGACATAGATGCAAACGCCTATTCTGCCTTTGGATGGATGATGACGAGGAAGAAGGGTCTGAAAGTCACATTGAGCCCACGGTTTCCCTTTATGCCATGGCTGGACTTCGTCACCCCAACACGCTTCAAGTGCAAGTTCAATTGGCAGGTAGTTATGTTCTTGCAATGATTGATTCAGGGAGCACCCATAATTTCATCAATTCCCACACTGCCCTCTCACTCGGATTGCCGATAACACCTCGCCAGGATTTTCGTGTGGCAGTGGCTAATGGAGAAAAGCTACTCAGTACAGGTGTGTGCGAACAAGTGAGACTTGGTAAGGCTGGTGCCACATTCCTGATTAATCTTTTTGTCTTACCGATAACGGGGTTTGATATTATCCTTGGGGTAAAATGGTTGGAGGAATTGGGAGATATCGTGTGCAACTTTAGGGAGCAAAGGGTCACCTTTACCATACATGGCCGAACCGTTACTTGGACAGGAGATGCAGCTCCATTTGGCACTACTTTGTACTCTATGCATCCTGCAATCTCTAATGATCAAGCAATGGAGGAGCTTTTGAATTACTTTGACACCATTTTTTCTGATTCTATGGCACTGCCTCCGCCACGCAATTGTGATCACCGAATTATTCTAAAAGCTGGGGCAGATCCTGTTGTTGTACGACCGTATCGCTACCCGCAACTGCAAAAGGATGAAATTGAGAAGCAATGTTTGGAGATGCTAAAAAGAGGACAAATTCAGCCAAGTCGAAGCCCGTTTTCATCTCCAGTACTCCTGGTTACAAAAAGTGACAACTCATGGCGCTTTTGTGTAGATTATCGGGAACTCAATGCACAGACCGTTAAGGATAAATTTCCCATTCCGGTAATTGATGAGCTCTTAGACGAACTTCACGGATCTCAGTTCTTCACAAAGCTCGACTTGCGCTCAGGGTACCATCAAATACGAATGAGTCTAGAAGATGTTGAAAAAACAGCATTTCGCACTCACCATGGACATTTTGAATTTCTCGTAATGCCCTTTGGCTTGTGCAACGCACCGTCCACCTTCCAAGCACTTATGAATGAGGTATTCGGGCCCCATCTTCGTAAATTTGTCTTGGTCTTTTTTGATGACATATTAATCTACAGTCACACTTGGGTGGAGCATCTACAACACATTAGAATTGTGTTTGGATTACTCCAAACTCATCAATTGTTCCTAAAAAGGCAGAAATGTGTTTTTGGCGTGCTAAAGGTAGCTTATCTCGGACATGTGATTACTGGAAATGGGGGTGGCAGCAGATAATTCAAAAATTCAAGCCATCATTGATTGGCCTATACCAGTCACAACCACTGCTCTTCGCGGATTCCTGGGCCTAGCTGGTTTTTACCGACGTTTTATCAGGAACTTTGGTGTGCATGCAGCACCTTTAACTTCACTCCTTCGTCGCAATGCATTTTCATGGTCCAACGAAGCTCAAACATCATTTGACAAGCTCAAAACTGCCTTGTCCAGTTCACCAGTATTGCAATTACCCAACTTCTCCAAGCCATTCCTAATTGAGTGTGATGCATCAGGGGTGGGTATTGGAGCAGTTCTACAACAAGACAACCACCCCATTGCCTTCTTCAGCAAGAAGCTCGCAGACCGCCACCTTAAGCTACCGGCATATGAGCGTGAACTGATAGGCTTAGTACAAGCCATACGAAACTGGAGGCACTACCTTTGGGGCCGCTCTTTCGTGATCAGAACTGATCATTACAGCCTAAAATACTTACTGCAGCAGCGCCTTACAACCTCACCACAACAACATTGGATGAGTAAACTCTTGGGCTTTGATTTTGAAGTCGAATACAAACCTGGAAAACTGAACCGCGTGGCAGATGCTCTATCACGGAGGGATGCAAATCCAGCAACCCTCATGGCAGTTACTATGGTTCATGCCCAGTTAATGGAGGATTTAAGGAAGCATTATCAGCACTCCAAGGAAGGCCAGATTGTTATCAACAAAGCAGCAACACAAGGGGGGGATTCTAATTGGTCCGTCCATGATGGTGTGGTCTATTACAAGACCAAAATATATGTGCCAACCGACTTTAATTATATCCCTACCATCCTCGCAGCAGTTCATAATGCTACTCATGAAGGGATTCAAAAGACTCTTCATCGCATTAAAAGAGAATTCTATTGGGAAGGCATGGCATCTTCTGTACAGGACTTCATCACCAATTGTGTTATTTGCCAAAAAAATAAATGGGAAAACTTGCACCCAGCAGGTTTACTACAACCCCTACCAATCCCTGAACACATATGGGCTGATATTTCAATGGATTTTATTGACGGGCTACCCAAGGTCGGAGGTAAATCTGTTATCTATGTAGTGGTTGATCGATTCTCCAAATACGCTCACTTTATGGCATTGTCACATCCCTACACAGCCGCGTCAGTGGCTCATTCCTTTTTCTCTAATATTTTTAAGTTACACGGCCTGCCTGAAACAATAGTCAGCGACAGAGATGCAGTTTTCACAAGCTTATTCTGGAAGGAACTCTTTAAGTTATGTGGCACACACTTGGCATTTTCTTCATCTTATCACCCACAAACGGATGGTCAAACAGAAGTTGTTAATCGCACACTTGAAATGTACCTCAGATGTATGGTAGGAGATCACCCACGCAGGTGGGTAGACTGGCTGCCGTGGGCTGAGTTCTGCTATAACACCTCTCTCCACTCGGCTTTGGGTACTTCTCCCTTCAAGGTCGTATATGGCCGCGAACCACCGAGGCTTATATCCTACGAACCAGGATCATCCAGAATAGAAGCAGTAGACGCTGCTTTGAAGGACAGAGATGCAATCCTGAGCGCTGCTCGGAATCACCTCATACGTGCTCAAGACAGAATGCGTCTTGCATATGACAAAAACCACCGCGACGTTGTGTTCAAGGAGGGACAGTGGGTTTGGCTTCGCCTACATCCATATCGTCAATTCAGCGTAACCAAACGGACATCAGCAAAATTATCTCCACGGTATTTTGGACCATTCCAGATCGTCAAGAAAATTGGAAAAGTGGCATATAAGTTGGCCCTTCCGGAGGGTAGTAAAGTCCATGATGTTTTCCACATTTCATTACTAAAGGAATTTAAGGGAACGCCACCAGCACAGTCTCCCACACTACCTAATCTGCACGACGGTAAGCTTCTGCCACAACCAAAGGAGGTCTTAAGGGGTCGTCTTAACAGGGGCAGAAAAGAGATTTTAGTTGTGTGGTCTGGCATGCATCCAGATGAGGCCACTTGGGAGGATGTCGATGAGTTCAATCTTCACTTTCCTACCTTCAAGCTTGAGGACAAGCTTGATCTCAACGAAGGGAGTAATGATGCATTCACAGGGCGTCAGTATCACCGTAAAAGAAAGAAAGATAAAAGTCAGCAAATCACAATGGCAAATCAAACTGATTTGGAAGACAAATAAAATCAAACAAATCTGGGAGACAAATAAATCAGACAAATCTGATAGACATGTCACTGTCAGGGATTTGAGATCCTTAGAGATTTGAGATATCATTTTCTGATTGCAATCTTTGAATTATTGTTTTCTGTTTAATTGTTTTCTTTATTTTATTTTCCAAGCTCTGTAAAGCCTATTTAAAGGCCAGTTGAATGCAGGGAAAAAGCATGCAAGTTTTTAGCAAGAAAAGTCTGAGGGAGTTTCTGGAATTCTCAACAAAAAATTCCAACTTGATAAAAGTTTGCATAATTATATTCTTCTTAGTTTTCTGCCCAAACAGTAAACATAGCCAACCCTTCCAAAGCTCAGTCTACCCTCCCACTCACCCGAAGGCCTGTGACGAGATCTTGCACACAAGCTGCCCGTAACATGTACCTCTGTGAAGAATGATGTTTTTTTTTTTGGGGGGGGGGGGGGGGTACAAAAAAATAAGGTAGTATGAATATGATTGGCCCCTTTACAAAAGCACTCACTCAAAATGCTTTTTAAAAATGAACTAAAATTAAAAAATTCCGAAGTAGAACTTCTGAAAGGCTCTTTTTAAGAACTTCCTTCTCAATAGCATATCTACCTTTTTCAAAATCCATTTTTACCCTTTTCCAAACAAACTTGATTAAACGAGCCAAATACTCAAACCAAGCTTTTGTTCAGCCGCACTTCAAAGAAAACCACTTCTACGCAAAAGCAGCTTTTCCACAAGTAGGCCAAACAAGGTTACTCAAATAAAATGCCCTAAGAGCACATCAAGACCCAATTCCCTTCCAGCTCTCTAAAACCAGAAACATAAGTTGACAAAAAAGAAAGCTTCCGAAAAGAAATGGAAAGTGTGAGAAAGGTCATAAGAGTTGGTATAAAAAGCTACTGTTAGTATTGTATGCCCTCGGTCTCAATGGCATCTAATATGTTGCTCCTTTTGTTTCTTTCAATAAGCTAAACCACCCTTAGCTTTAAAGATCCAAATGTCTTTCTCAACCAAATTTACACTTAGCTGGGTTGAGGATGACTTGTTTCAAGGAATAAGTGCATCCCTTTGAAAAAGGTACTCCTTATTATAATACAAGAAGAATTTGGCTAGCAAATGAGAAGTTTGTTTGGCTGTGAAAGTTTTTCTTGCTTATTTAGGAAAACGCGGGATTGGTGATGTTTTAAAAGAGCAGTTTCATTGTAAAGGAGAAAACACTTTTAATAAAAGCATGTATAGCATAAATTATCTCAAACAAGTGCTTAATTTGGGATCTTGACTGAGGTATTACGAATCGGTTGCAGGATAGAATTTAGCATTTAAAAGTTCAAAGAGATTATTATTATACCTGAGATTTTGAGGATGATGGTTGGGCACCTTTCTTTGAGACCTTAACAGATTGTTGGGCAGCCAAATCAGAAAGGATTCCGTCTAGCGACCATAACACAAAGAATCCAAGGGATTCATAAGACCGTTTATTGATCCAGTCAACTGAGATCTTGTACACAGGCTCAGAGATATGTGACACAGGGACCTGTTGGCATAAGAATCAGCTAAAAACATTACATCATAGTCAAAATCAACAAATCAGATGACTATTTGACCTTGGCAGTGGCTAATCTCATCGTATTCAAGTGGTGATTTTTGCAAAAAAAGAAAAAAGAAAAACAACACATTGCATTTTTACAAATACAGAGCATGAACGCCCCAAATGCATTTATGTGGATAAAAGGCCTAATACGAATTCAAAGATTAAAGGTGGAACGAAGGTGAAAAAAATCAATCTTGCATACTGGATAGTATGGGATTACAAGTCTAATTGCTCGTTCCAATGCAGTTATGCGGTTATAATTAAATCTTCGAATATCACAATGCATGTGCCTGTAAGTTAATACATACGCCATATTTCTAATAATGGCACGGATTGGGGATAAATTTCTACTTACATCTGCAATCTTTGAGACCAATGACTCTCTGAACAACTTCAACCAAGGAAATTGTGAAGCAGACACAGATGAAAATGCACGTCCGAAGTAATCAGCAAATCGCATCAAAAGTATTTGTTCTTGCGATTCGTACGATGCCTTGAATCAAAACAGAAAGATGATGAGTTCGATTGAAAAACACGAATTTATCTAGAACTGGAGCAAAACAAAGAATCGATCATAAAAAAAACGATCTTACTGAGATTTCATCGAGGAAATCCGATAACTCGGCCGGAACGATCTTGGCAGCAGCTTCAGCGACGGTGACCTTCGGCTTCTTCGGCTTCTTTTGCTTCTCCTTCTTCTTCTTCACCTCAACAACTCCATTTGGCACACCACCCTCCACATCGCTGTCCTGATCCTCGTCGTGGGATCGGTGATTCGCCGCCGATCTCGCCGGAACCTCATCATCGAGGTACATCGCAGCTCTCTGAGCCTCAATTCTCTGGTGACGCTCCTCGGACTGCTTCTCCAGCGACATAAACACATTGTCGGCGGCGGGGACGACGGATCCGTTGGCGACAATCTTGGTGGAGTCTGAAGCCGGCTTCTGTTGATTCTTCCTCTGCTTCTTGACGTAGGACACCTTCTGCCATCCGTGGTCGTTGTTAGCTGATTCGACGTGGTGGATCGGCTCAAAATCCATTGATTGATCTTCCATCCTCGCAGTTTCCTTCGGGAAGATACGGAACAGGGTAAATTTAGAGAGAGACAGAGAGAAGAGGGTCGTTGTAAGAGAGCAGAGATTTGACCTGCATTTAACAAAAAGAGAAGGGTGGTGAAATTATGATCCGAGTAGATTACGCATATGCGAAGAGATCCAAAAGAAAGGGTGGATCAAACTCGTTTAATGATGGGTTGAAATGGGAGAACTCTATTCTGACTCGCTTATCCGAGGCTTTGTGGGCCAATTCAGAGGTTATGACTCTATACAGAGTATCAAAAAGATTTCAGAAATCACTATACAGCGTTACTCGTAATAGAATATAGGGGAGGATGACTAAAATGGATATTATTCATCATTGACTTCTAATTCTATGAATTTTATCAATTCAGGATCCGAAAGATAGCAGTCATTTGTCTTAGAAACGTCAATGAACTAATTTGATTGAGGCATTTGATTTTAGAATATATAATTCGAATTTTTGAATCCTTGAATCCTTTAAATTTAACTAGCAAACTCACCCGTGCGATGCACGGTCTTGAGAATTTTCCTTCAAATTTGTTTGTGTCCACTAATTCAAATTACACTATCAATTGATGAGAGTATCTATCTTCATGGAATATTGATATAACTTAAAGCATTAAACAAAACACACTTAAAATATATATTATAGTTAAAAAGAGAGCACTAAGCATTATTTAAAAGATCAAAAACATCCAACAAAACTTAGAAATCATAACATTGTAAATATACATTTCATGTAACCATAAACATTGTTGAACACTTTTTGAATACAACATTCTGAGTCTTGTTCAGTGGTTCCTTCTTCTTCATCAATACCCGTGCGATGCACGATTGGTGAAATTCTGCAGGTATAATTAACATTAGCCAATATTTTAATTAAAAAATAAACAAACTTGTAATTTTAATTGAATTGTTTAGAATTATACTCCATACAATAATAAAACATGACGTAAATGAAACATATAAATTACAATTTACTAATGATTACAGAGTAATACATTATTTTTTATAGCCCGCAAAAGAGTAAGTAACACGCAACATAACATCATTTGAAAACAAATTACATTCCATGGCAAATTTTATGAAGCACTTCTTTGTACCTTCTGTCTAGCATTAACCCTTGTTAAAAGTGAAATTACACTAAATAGGACAAAAAAAGTTTTATGTATTCCAAAATTGGACCTTAAGCATGGCAATATTTTTCAAGCTTGACATTAATTACGCCTGTTTTGGCAATAAAAAACATGACAATCTTATTTTGGAATTCTCAAACTCATTTACTCATATTAAAAAAAAAATCCCTTATTAAAATCTTTCATTCAAGTAAATTTTTGACAAAGATTTTTTTCATTTTCAAATCAAAGGTCTATATATGTTAACTGAAGGTATAAATTTTTATAATTACTAAATAATATGGTGACATTACATCTATACGAATTGCATTATTTAGACGAATTGCTGATGTAACCTGGCAAATCAGGGGGTGTGCAGATATGTGAAAATGTGTTATGTCTTTATCTATACGAATTGCATTATTTAGACGAATTGCTGATGTAACCTGACAAATCAGGGGGTGTGCAGATATGTGAAAATGTGTTATGTCTTTATCTATACGAATTGCATTATTTAGACGAATTGGTGATGTAACATGGCAATTCAGGGGGTGTGAAGATATGTGAAAATGTGTTATGTCTTTATCTATACAAATTGCATTATTTAGACAAATTGCTGATGAAACCTGGCAAATCAGGGGGTGTGCAGATATGTGAAATTGTGTTATGTCTTTATCAATACGAATTGCATTATTTAGACGAATTGCTGATGTAACCTGACAAATCAGGAGGTGTGCACATATGTGAAAATGTGTTATGTCTTTATCTATGAGAATTGCATTATTTAGACGAATTGCTTATGTAACCTGGCAAATCAGAGGGGTGTGGAGATATGTGAAAATGTGTTATGTCTTTATCTATACGAATTGCATTATTTAGACGAATTGCTGATGTAACCTGACAAATCAGGGGGTGTGCAGATATGTGAAAATGTGTTATGTCTTTATCTTTATCTTTATCTATACGAATTGTTGATGTAACCTGGCAAATCAAGGGGTGTGCAAATATGTAAAAATATGTTATGCCTTTATCTTTATCTATATGAATTGCTGATGTAACCTGGCAAATCAGGAGGTGTGCAGATATGTGAAAATGTGTTATGTCTTTATCTATACGAATTGCATTATTTAGACGAATTGCTGATGTAACCTGGCAAATCAGGGGGTGCGCAGATATGTGAAAATGTGTTATGTCTTTCCTAAACTAAACATAAATATAAATTTATGAGAAAATCTTCAAATAAGTATTTATACATAATGTTATTTAGGTATATATGTATATAACTTTTTTAAATGATTACATAAATACAATTAAAATAAAGTTTGTTTATGAAAATGTGACATGTTATGCATAGTTACTATGTTCAAAATACTTTTTTACATCTTTGTACCAATAGGATTTGGTTTCTTACAAAACTTTATGTTCTGATGGATGTAATATCTTTAGATTATATGGACAATTATTTTGTATTCTATTTATTTTGACATTTGTTTAAGGATATTGCAATTTTTTAATGAAAAAATGAACAAAAGCATGATGTTGACATTTTTGGGGGGAACCCTATTCATCAAAGAAATGTGCTTTTATATATTAATAGATAATAGATAGTTTTAATGGGTATATAATTGTGATGTTATAGATGTATTCATTTTAATTTTTGATGAATAATTTTTCATTTAAGATTATTGACGGTTTCCTAAATAAGAAATGATAACATTTATTTAAAACAAATAAAACTAAACCATTTGTGAAAGTGTTGGACATATCCTAAGCTGCTAAACATATACTGCCTCCGTCCCACTAAGATTGTCTCATTTTACCTTTTCGGGAAGTTCCACTAAGATTGTCTCATACCAAATTTGGTAAAATTTGTGTAGCTCTAAATCATTCTGACTATTTTTAGTTTTTCAATTTAATATCAACAACATAAATTCACTTTTCTTAATAATCGTGTCATCTTCTTCCGTCCCAATGTTAGTAAGACGGATGTAGTACTACATATGTAAACCTGTTTAATTTTAACAGGCCAAAATAAGAGGCCCATTGATTGTGATCATGTGAAGTCCAACCACAACAGCACACCCTAATAAACCATAGAATCCTCCAGAAGCCAACCCTTCATTTCTTTTCAACGCTTCGATTCTTCCATTCAAAATGAATCGGTCAGGCTCTCTCCAACCATCGGCATCTTAAACCTCACCGGACTGTCAAATACTTCTGATGCTACACCCAATCCGACACCGAATCTCCGCCACCGTAATCACCCGGCGGTAGTGCTCTACCGCCTCGTCAGCCTCGTCCGCCGCTCTAAGCTCTAAAAAACGGTAAGAATACACTCCCTCTACTACACACCTCTATTTCACCGATCAAATGTCCCTTAAAACAAAGGGATCGGACCTGTATGTAAATCACCACACCCACAACCTACAAATCTATCAGATTTGTTTACTTCCACAGTACTCTAACTTTTTTTTTGCACAAAAAGGATTACGATTATACATGCATGGATTTCTTCTATCCGTAATGAAATATCTCAAAAGAATTAGTTGAAATTTTACTAAGACACAATTACTCTAATTTTTTTAATCGATCTGCTTATTTGCATTAAACCCAAAAAGTTTTCAATTCATATTTTTTTTTGTGTACCAAAATATTTGAAAGTTAAATGACCATGGTTTTTTTAATAGATTTAAAAAATCTAACTCTTAAATAACATTACTTGTCTTACAATTTTAATATAAAAAATATGACATTATATGTATTACGTATTTAAAAATAGATTTTAAATTCAACTTGTAGACATTTCTAAAATTGTAAAAAGTACTACGTATAAAGTTTCAGATGACTACCCAAATATTTATTTATGCTGCCATTCCTACCCAGATATGATTTAGATTAACAAAACAACATGTTTTCGATAAAATCATATGAAGTACTTTTCATTCCATAGAAAAAATAAAAAGCATTTTTCACACAAAAGCCGAGAAAAGTAAAAGTTAGTAATGTTTGATAAAATAAGTGCTTTTTAAACCAAAGGATGAGCTGTTGCAATCAAACACTGTTGCAATTAGGGTGGGGTGAACATCATCAAAAGAGGGTGAACAAATTTGATTTCCAAAAGAAAGCCTACTGCTTCCATCTCATCATAGTGTAATGCTTGTATACACGTCTTCAATCACAATCTTGGATTATACTCATTTCATTTTGTTCTTCTTATTCATTTATTTTTTGTATGCAAATTTCTAGGTGTTGGTAGAGTGTATTTAACTTAACCATTAATGTATGATCACAGGTTTTTGAGTGGCAACATTTCTACAAAACTTCTTTTAGACATTGAAAGATTTTTTTTTTAATTTAATAAAACTAAGAAAATTTAGTTATAGAATCCACTGCTGACTAAACAAAGGAGTTAAAAAAACTTTGTTGGCAATTTGTATGCACGTAATATATACTCCGTATTAAAGAAATTGTAAACCATCAATACATTACACACAAAATACACAATGTTGTCTAATACAACATCATTTATGATTACAAATATCATTAATGCACTTACTTATACCTATCCCAATATATTTTGCACAGTACGAAGTTACTTAAATCCAGCCCAACCATTAATATTGTGAAGCCCAACTTTAAAATATACGGAGCATACACCGCCCACAGATCAAATAGATCCTTTAATTCATCACAACTGAAGGTTCAAGATCGATGATAGCCAGATAGGTACATCGGCCGCTCCGTGCTTTTTTTTCTCAGCCATCTTCGGCGTATGTACATGCGCTCCCCATACTCTATACCTGGTAACATTCACAATCTTATCCTCGCGTCGCTTAGCAATAGCTCTTCCATCCAAGACCGGATTTGCTGATCCATAAAAGCTTCCATTTTCGAACGATTAGGTAACCATTCGCTGGGAATCCGTCGTGTACTGGTTCTCCATAGGCTATCA